CTGAATGTACTATCAATAAAATCCTGGGTCGCAAGTACTCACCTTAATATTTAAAAAAAAAAAAAAAAAAAAAAAAATTAAACCTTAGACCTGCCACTTGAGGGTTGACAACCTATCCACTTCACTAAATCATCACATCCTTATTATTGTTGTAATATAAAATTAAGAAGACTTCTATTTTATAACAATCTAAAAAACTAATTATTTACTAAAAAATTTTTTTTATGTACTACTTTTTTTATTACTTTAATTCTATTAACTTTAATATAATTCTTCTAATTAAGTACTTAAACTAGTTAAACTAAATACTAAGATATTGATATTGTATTTACAAATCTTTTTTTGTATATACTGATTCTCTTATAACTTCAATTTTGTTACTTTTTCAATTAAGTATTCAAATTATATCTTTAAGATATTAATATTAACCTGTCTTTAAAAAACTTATTTATACAATACTTCATATAATAGAATCTTTTGTAACTATTATTACACTATAATGTTCTGCTTTACAAAGTTGATCTTCAAAATACTTATTTTTTGCACAACTTTTTGTATAATGGAATCTTTTATGATGCTACTGTTATATGTAATGTTTATACTTTGCAAAGTTAATGTTCTTTTGAGAATTTCTATTTTAAATTATCTAATACACTTACTTGATCTTTGTTTATAGAACTTCGTGTTTAGGTATAGGCTCCTTTTTAAGTTACAAAAACTAAAATCTTTTTGGATTTTGTCTTTAGCCAAACTTAAACTGTTAACTTAAACTGTTAACTTTAACTGTAAGAATATAAAAGTTTAACAATTAAGCTATAGAATTTATACTTTTTTATATAAATTTATAAGTTAATTTTATTTTGTAATTTTATATCTTAATGTTTAAAAATTTATATCTTAACCAATTTTAATAATTTTGATTTTATTAGAATTAAAAAAACTACTTTACAATTTTTATTTAGAATTAAAAATTATATTTTTTTTCAAAAAATTAAATATAAAAAAAATTTGCAAAAATTATATAGAATGATCAACGCCCTCTTTACTTATAATAAACTTGGTCAAATTAAATAGTAAATCGTCAGTCTCAGATATACTTGCCGGCCAAATCCCAAACTAATATAGTTTGGCTTTGTTCGCTTCCAAACCCAAGCCCAAACTAATATCTCAAAAACATTATTAATAATCTTTATTTAACAAATGATATATATTCTTATAACTATATATAATATATTTACAAAATATCAAAATTATTTTGTTAATTTAATTTTGGGGATTTGCCCAGGTTTGCCAGCAAGTATAGTCCCAGGTATGTATACGTATATCAAAATTTTATTTTTTTTATATATATTTGTAATACTTCGAAGTGCTACGTACACAAAAATTGAATGCAAATCGTTCCACAACATATTTATATAGGTTACTAAGTTCCTTGTCTAGTATTAAAACCCGAATCATTTAAGTAGTATCGGTATACTCATTTGGTAGACCGAACTCTTTTAGCTTCGCATTAACGTTGAAACCCTCATTATTTGTATATATTTATGACTTTTTTTAAATACCTGTGGAACTTGAGGCTTTCATTTTAGGAGCCTCTAATCTTTATATTGGCTAGTGGCACAAAAGCCTCTTTTTAAACAAATAATTTATCACAATCGATTTTAGTCATGTGTCAATTGTGCCAATAGTTAAATAATTTACAATTAACGTTAATATTTGTGCATGTACTCAGAGTCAATATCCGACGAATTCCGACAAAGTGTCACATTCAAGGAGAAAACATACCTTCTTTTCCACACCATTTCTTACTTTGGTCCTTTGCACATACTTTCGTGATTCTTTCGTTTCGAATTCTTTTTCTCGTAACGTCCCACATAGTTTGTGTCTATCCCAAATGTTCTTTCCTTAATCTCTGAACCTGGTTGTGACACTCCCTTTATATTCATTTATATATTGGAATCTAAAAAAAAAAAAAAAGAAAATTTATTACGACCTATTTTCGGAAAAGATTATTCTTTTGACACAACCATGTCGAGCGAAACGAATACTACTGCAGGGTCCTCGTCCTTAGCTAACGAAACGTTGTCCGTTACTACTTCCAATGATAACTCGGCTTTAGTACAGGAAGATTCCGCAGAAAAGCAAGCTCGCAAGAAACCAAATCGACAAAACTGGAAAAGCCCATCTAAGGGCGATGGTAAAGACATCAAAGCAAATAAACCTATTGTCATTTCCGATGATAATAGTAACGACAACGTCGATGAAAAAAAGAAAAAAGAAAAAAAGGGGAATAAGAACCGTACCCCCTCCACAGATGGGTCCGATCAATCTAAAAATAAAGAGGCCGAAGTATTAGATATAAATATTGCCCAACATCAACGTCGAAAGTCAACCGCTAACACGTCCGATACATCAAGCAAAAATAAAAATTCTAATAACAATGGTATTGATAAGTCCGTTCATCGTCGTGGTAAATCAATGGCAAACGTTGGGGAGCTTCAAGGCGTCTCTTCGAAAAATGGAAACGGTAAATCTAAAGGCAGCAAGGATGATTCTGAAAATAAATCGGAAGCTTTAGAATCTTTGCAGCAGATTATTGCCAGTCTCAAAAGTTTACCAGCAGTTCCATCTAAACCTCAAAAGTCAGATAAAAAAGATGGTGATGATAGTTCCGTTGACTTGGCTTTTAAACATAAACGTCATGAGTCGAGTGCATCTGGTACCGGAAAGCGGACTAATGCACCTTCTAAACAACATAAGAAGGGTACTTCTGTGTCATTTTCATTTCCCCTGACAACAGCAGTTACTACTTCATTAAAGCCTATTCTTGATTCAGAAGACGGCAAACCTATTGACATAGAAAATGCTTTACAAGACACTATTTCCTCTTTGAGGCGCATGAGTCTTGATAAAGGCAAAGTTCAGAAGGAAAAAGAAATTGATAAGAAAAAAGATGATGGTGAAGATGATGAGACCGAAGAAGAAAGGAAGACTCGACGTAAAAAAAATACTGTAAACAGAAAATCTCCCAATCCTGATGATATGGTACAGTCTAATATCGATAAAAAACAAGAGTTGGATTCTCCTAAGTCTCCATTTGATTTCAAGAAACCCACAGACGACCAACAACAGCTAACTGCGAAGAAGACCCATCGTCGTCATCAATCTCTTGGTTATACGTTGTCTAATTCTTCGTCCTCGACATCTATCGTGAAGCCTAATATTCCTATCCATGGCCGACGCCACAGTGTAGCTCTTAATGGCAGCAAAGACGTGCTTAAAGAACTTGAAAAGAATCAAGGCAGACTTGTTGGACCAGAAGTGAAGGGCCATCGCCGTAGCAATTCCAGAAATTTTGAAGGCAACTGGCGATCAAGTAAGTAATAAATATATATAAGTAGCTTAATTATGAGAATCCTCGAAGTTTTAGTTTAAAATTCCCTATAGACCAAATTTAAGAATTGGCTCTTTATAAAAATAATGAATGCGATGCACTTTGTCATTCCAATAATACTCAGCTGCCTCGCCCCTTTCTGCCTTAGCTCAACCATTTCAGCCATTTCCGATACCTAAGTTTGGTGCAATCCAGAAGAAACAGCAACAGAATCAACAAAACTCTAACAATCAGCAACAAAGGAAGTCTCTCTTTGCACCTTATCTTCCACAAGCTTCTCTTCCTCCACTTCTTAAAAATTGCCAGCTCGTTTCTGGTGTTTTGCGAATCAATAAACGTAATCGATCCGATGCCTATGTAGCTACCGAGTCACTTGATGCTGACATCTACATATGTGGTTCCAAAGATAGGAATCGCGCATTAGAGGGTGATGTTGTTGCGGTAGAATTGTTAGATCCTGATAAAGTTTGGCAAACTAAAAAAGAGAAGGAAGAAAAGAAGAGGAAAAAAGAAGAAAGCGCTGGAATTGACAAAAAAAAAATCGATAAAAAGAAAGATGACGTTGAAGTCGAGGGGCAAGGTCTTCTTCTTTTCGAGGATGATGACATTGTCACAGATGAACAGAGACCGAAATATTGTGGCCATGTCGTTGCAGTTATGGAACGAATGCCGGGACAACTTTTTTCTGGGTAATAACTGTCATCCAGTTTAATTTAGAGCTTATACCATTATTACTGCGTTTTCTGCTCACTATACATTAATTGTCTATATATATTCAATTTACATAGAACGCTTGCTCTTTTAAGACCATCATCCACTGCAACTAAAGAAAGAGAAGCAGCTGAAAAAGCTCGAAAAGAAGCTGAAGATAGAGCTGCTGGTATTGAACCCAAAGTGGAAGAGCATCGAGAAGAGAAAAAAGATGACAAAAATGAGCGTCCAAAGATTGTATGGTTTAAGCCGGTATATTCATAATAAATTTATTTTTATTTCTATTTATTTTTTATTTTATTTTTTTGTAATATTAATTATATTTTACAAACTAATCTGTCATTAGACAGACAAACGCGTACCTTTAATTGCCATTCCAACTGAGCAAGCACCATCTGACTTTGTCGAAAATCATCAGTCTTATGCCCAGCAATTGTTTGTTGTAAGTTGAAATTACTCTTTTAACTATAACCGTATTTTGTTGGCTACTCATACCTATTCGTAAAATGATAACATTATAAATATTATTCATATTCTACATTTACCAAATAGGCTTGTATTAAGCGTTGGCCCATAACTTCACTTCATCCTTTTGGTACTTTAGTGACAAAAATAGGAGAGATTGGTAGTATAGAAGTAGAAACGGAAGCACTTCTTAAAGATAATAACGTTTCCTCTGAAGAATTCAATGAAAATGTGACAAAGTGCCTTCCATCTACTCCCTGGATTATTCCTGAAAAGGAAATCGAAGCCCGCAAAGACTTAAGGTTAACCACCAGGATTTTCTCGATTGATCCTCCCACTGCGAAGGATCTTGATGATGCTGTTTCATGTTCTCGTCTTCCAGATGGAAATTACGAAATAGGTGTTCATATTGCAGATGTAAGCTATTTTGTTAAACAAAACAGTGCACTTGATCGAGAAGCTCGTAAGAGAGCGACAACCGTTTATTTGGTCCAAAAATCTGTTCCCATGCTCCCACCATTAATTTCTGAAGAATTATGCAGCTTAAACCCTGGTGCAGATAGGTAATATTCAAAGAAATTAAATCGTTAAACTCTTTTGCAAATATATAAACGTTGTATTAACATTAGATACGATTTTGTAGACTTTCCTTCTCTGTAATTTGGAAAATGACACCGGAAGGCAAACATTTTGAGACATGGTACGGCCGTACTATAATCCGACCATGCGCTAAATTATCGTATGAAAATGCGCAGGAAGTAATTGAAGGAAAACCTTTAAACCCTGAAGTCAAAATTTTTAGTGATTACGATGCTAAAGAGATTGAGGCTGATATCAAAGTCTTCTACGTAAGTTATATTAATTGATCAAATTAATTAAGAACGATGAGCTACATTTCTCTTAATATTCTCAGGGTCTCTCACAACGTTTGCGAGAACAACGACTTAAGCGTGGCGCGTTGTCTTTGGGCTCTATCAAACTAAACTTTGAACTGGATGAGCACAATAATCCTATCGAATGCAACATATATGAACATAAAGATGCCAATCAACTCATTGAAGAATTCATGTTACTTGCAAACATGAGTGTTGCACAAAAAATATCTAGTGCTTTTCCCGAGCAAGCTTTACTTAGAAGACATGCTCCTCCCATTGAACGTAGACTTGTATGTATTTTTGTTGTAATTTGAGTTTTCAGCATACTTTTTATGATATTGCTTTTTAAATAGTTATTTACTATGTTCTAGAATGATTTTGTTGAGCATGTTAAAAGATTAGGATATGATATTGATACATCATCTGCTGGTGCTTTACAAAGGTCTTTCAATGCTGTTGAAGACGATAGTGTTAGAGAGGTATGAATACTTTAGACGAAATGTGTCATTTTGGAAGAGTAAATAATCATCATTAATTTAAAAATAAATGAATAATTTATATGTTTAAGGTTTTGAAACTTCTTGCAATAAAACCAATGCAAAGAGCTAAATATTTCTGTACTGGAACTTTAGACATTGCAAAATATCATCATTATGCTTTGAATGTTCCGCTTTATACACATTTTACCTCTCCTATTCGTCGTTATGCTGACGTTCTTGTTCATCGTATGCTCGAAGCTGCGTTATCTGGTGGTATGAAGAGTCTCTTTATGTAACATTAAGTTTTTGTTGTTATTTCTGAAAATTCTTAATGAATAACTTCATTCCTAGAGAAACGCTTCTATCTTGATAAGGATGCTGTTCAAAAGACGGCTAATCATTGCAATGTCAAAAAGGACGCTGCAAAAAATGCACAGGAGCAAAGTAGCCATCTCTTCCTCTGTGTCCTCCTTCATAATTTGACTGTGCAATCAGGTCCTGTAATTCGTGAAGCAATTGTCATTGGTGTCAAAGACCATGCATTTGATGTTTTAGTACCCGTGTTTGGAATTGAAAAGCGTGTTCATTTAGATCAACTTCCGCTAGAAAGATTTATATTCAATGCTGAAACAGGTGAATTAGCTCTGCATTGGAAACAGGGAATCAGTTCTCTTGAACCGATTCCTGAAGATGACGGACTTGGCGAAGATGAAGAGGATGGTTTGGATGTTGACGAAGATGCTTTACTTGCAGATGTTAATGACGATTATCACTATGAATTGATGGATGTCTCAAGTCTCCCGATTGAAGATGAGCATCGACTATTTGATGATGCCAATTCAGACATTGGCGAAGATGACGAGTTTCAAGTACCTGGTGATGAGGAAGATGATAGTAATGATGATACAGAAATTGTTGCTGTGCCTTTAATGTCTTCTAGTGAATCCCCTAAAACGGACATTCCCTCAACAGAAGCTCCGTCACTCAATCAAACAGCTTCTACAAAAAGTTCTCTACCTATTGTAAAAATTACAGAATTACCACAGTTGCCCATAGTTTCTGATCCCACTGTTCCCAACTCTCAAATTATTAAAGAGCTTTGCCGTCTTCAAGTTGTTATCACTGCAGATTGTAAAAAGAGCCCACCCGTTATTAAAGTTTTGGCTGTTAACCCTTATGCGTAGAACTTGATGTAGTTATAAAAGTAAATCGAAAAAATGATTTGGCTAACAGATATCAAATTTATCAACCGAAAATATTTGGTATTTTTGTCTGATCTAAATAGAACTTACATTTCTTTTATTTGTCAATTGAAATTTAAATGTTTTATATAGAACATTTGGGTCTAACCCATTTATTATAATTTGGGGTTTATTGATTTTAGTTTTAATTTTTTTTTTTACAATTTTGTTTTGTCATTGGGTCTCTATTTCTTTTTATTTGAATAAATTATGTTTAAAATTATTAATTTTACGAAATATTTAGGCCAAATTCTCGTGCAGAGAAAGCAAAAACTTTATCTGCAATTGCTGTTATGATCATCAATCTATAATTGGCTTCAAGTAAAATCAACAGATAACAGATCATTAATTTCAGTTCCAAAAAGAATATTTGTTCGAAAGGATAGATTAGTAGAGCAACCAAAATTCAGCATATCGACCCAAATTTAGGGTCGGAATAGGCCCGGAGATAGGCCGGCATAAATCAATAATGTTAGTCAACTATATTACAGTAAGATTTCATCTGGGCAGCTTTACTTAGTACGTGGCCTACCATTTTCGAAAATTTTTTATATTTTGACCAATTGTCTTAGCGTTACCAACAGGGGCAAATATAAATAGTATTTTATAATAAGGCTAACTTAATTAACAAACTTGTGTTATAGATATGTAGCAAAGTTTATTGAAAAATTTCATTTTGATTCACAGTTTGTAAAGAGCTTAGAATGTTTGTCTTGCTTTGTATAACTTGATTCTTTTGAAAGACTATTAGCTATATATAAACCAGAAAAATACAAATTATAATTATAAAAATTATAGAAAAACTTTTAATTTTATTATAATTTTTTAACTGTTTTATTTATATAAAATCAATTACATTTTCAAATAACTTAACAATCTTAAGTCTTAAAAATAATAAAAAAATAGGGTGTGGTGACCTAGTGAAGTGGTCAGGTTGTCAACCCTCCAAGTGGTAGGTTGGGTGTTCAAATCCCAT